GAACTTGTTAAAATTCAGCAATAAGTGGACAATAATTTTATATTTATAGGTGATAGTTGTACAAAAATTGGGGAGGGGTGGTATTTTTAGTTAAGATTATAAAATTGGTGGCATATAGGGCTATTTCCCAATATTATAAACGTATAGCCACGCGGCTATACTTGTTAAATATATTCGAATATTTAAATCGTATATCCGAACAGCTATACTCTTGAAATATATTAGAATATTCTAAACGTATAGCCGTGCGGCTACAGTTGTTAAATATATTCGTCGCTATACTTTTGAGATATATTAGAATATTCTAAACGTATAGCCGTTCGGCGATACTAAATATATTCGAATATTTAAATAGTATAGCCGCACGGCTAGACACTTGAAATATGTTAGAATATTCTAAGTTTACAGCTGCGCGACTATACGCGTGAAATATATTCGAATATTTAAATAGCTGCCTAAATGTATTGGAATACATTAAAAGTGTAGCCGTCCGGCTATACGTGTTGAGTATATACGAACTGCTTAGAGAGAGGGAGAGAGAGCTCAATTTAAGTAGTTGATTCTTAGAAGCTTCAATCTATGGCTTCTTGGGTTCTTTTACCCGTAGCTCCAGTAACCGGTAGCTGTATAATGGCTCCTGTGAGAACTCTGAGGTCGTCCTCCGTCTGCGTTCGGTCTTCTTTGGACACTAAGGGCCCGTTCGGTAGAGCGTTTTCAACATATTCTCTGTTTTCATTCTCTGAAAACAGTCGAAATATGTGTTCGGTGGCAAGAGTTTGAAAACATGAAAAACAACTTTCAGAAAACAGATTCAAACTCATGTACAAAAATTGAAAACGCCAAATTATCGTTTTCAATTTATGTTTTCATTTTCTACCCAGCAAAACATAAACGAAAATCAAACCCATAATCAAACCCACCACGGCCACTACTACCAAACCTCACAGACCTAGTCCCCACATCACCACAACCTATCAAACCCAGTCGACACCAACACCACCACCATCCCAATGGAATCACCACCAAACACCCAATCGAACCCAATACACATCATCGCCACCTAGTAAAAAGCAATCGACCCCAGCACCTCCACCACCCATGCCCAATCAAAGCACCATTACCGCCATCACCACCTGATCAGGAGGGGGAGAGAGGGAGAGAGTGAGAAAGAGAGAGAGAGAGAGAGAGACAGACAGACAGACAGACAGACAGACAGAGAGAGGTGGGTTGATGGGATTCATGCCATGGAAGGAAGGAGTGGGTGCTGCGGCATGAAGAGATAGTGAAAAAAAAGGGAAGGAAGAAGAAAAGAGAAAGGAGGGGAAGAAAGAAAGAAACGGGGCTGGGAAGGAGTTTTTATCTAGCCAAAAAATTTTAATTAATGAATATAGAATATATATTTCAATAAACCAATAGGAAACAATTCATGATTTTCTTGGTTGACCAAGAAACATATGGAAATTGTTTTTTTTATGTGTTCTCCCTTATTTGTTTTTTTTATCTTCTATTTTCGTAGTTCCACCTCTTTCGGAGAAGAAAATTCCACCTTTTTATTTATCATTTTCACTTATTATTAAAGATAATTCTAGGTTTTTATAACATTAGAAATTTTTTATTTTTTATAGAACATACATTAGCAAAAATATACTTGAAAAATAACTTACATATTATTATTCTCAAATTGTACTACCAGACACGTTTTCACTGTTTTTATTTTCTGAATATGTTTTCTAATTAATCTACCAGACGCATTCTTGAATCCTGAAAATGCAAATTCGTTTTCTCGTTTTCATTCTCTGAAAATATTCTCTGAAAACATTCTCTAAAAACGTTACCAGACAGGGGCCTAATGTTTCTGACATGAGTGTAAATGGTAAAGTTCCCATCTTTTTTAGCTTCAATTTGACAATTATCTCTGTGTTTATTGCTATTCAGTCTCTTTTGATTTCTGGATATTCTTACTTACTTTCGGTGAATTATAATGAATTTGAGGAAACTGGTGATGGTAGCACTATTAAGTTAGCATTCTGAGATGAATGTTTACTCTGCCAGCTCCAAAAGGGTTGTTTCCACCTGAACCTGAACACTACCGAGGTCCCAAGCTCAAAGTGGCTATAATTGGAGCTGGGCTTGCAGGCATGTCAACAGCATTTGAGCTTTTGGATCAAGGCCACGAGGTTGGTCCAATTTATGTTATAGTCCTCCGACTGCTCACAATTATGTCTGAATTGTATGTTTCTTTCTGTTTAGCTTTTTTACTTCAGTATATGATTTAACGTTTTAAAATTGGGGACTTTGGCTGAAACGTTTCAGCAGCTCACTTCCGATTTTCAGCTAGGTTGTTTATTTCTAAGAAATTAGTTACATGTGTTCTATATAAATTCTGCTGGTGGATATATATGAGTCAAGGCCTTTCATTGGTGGAAAAGTGAGCTCCTATGTTGATAAACGTTGAAACCCCATTGAAATGGGACTCCATGTTTTCTTTGGTTGCTACAGTAATCTTTTCCGATTAATGAAAAAGGTGAACAAATATTGCTTGGTTGAACTGCTATGACATTTGGGTGATCCTGATATCCTGGGAAAAATCCTTATAAACATCTTTATTATTCTTTAACAATGTTTGTATGATATCTGATATTTTTTATTCTTGGTGCTTCACTTAAACAGGTGGGCGCAGACGAAAATCTACTTGTCAAGGATCATACTCATACTTTTGTAAACAAAGGGGGTAACATTGGTGGTATGTCTCAGTGCTTGATCTTATTTGTTCATAAATCTTTCCTCATCTAGCCATGCTCCATTATGTCACAATTCATTTATTCATATCCAATGCACCTTATCTATAACTTAATTTTCCATCACAGAATTTGATTTTCAGTTCCCAATTGGAGCACCAATACATGGGATTCTTGCATTTTTGTCTACAAATCAGATTAAGGTAGGTTGTCCCTATTGGAGTCACTGCTACTGGTTTTACTGCAAGCATTGTCATGTCACGTTACTTCGGATACCAGTATGGAGAATGAAGCATTGCTTTCGCCTTAAATCAGGAAAACCAGTAAAGAAAAAAATTCATATGTTTTCTTCCTTTATCATTTAGAGAGCTTCTTGAAGTGAACCAAATTGTAATGGAGCTTATTGCTCAATTAAATTTCTGTTAATGGTTTCCTGTATAATACTGTTCAAATGCAGACTTATGATAAAGCAAGAAATGCAGTGGCTCTTGCATTAGGTCCAGTTGTGAAGGCTCTGGTTGATTCAGATGGAGCATTGAGGGATGTACGGAATTTGGATAGTGTAAGAATGAAAGCTATCGTTATCCTTTATTTTGGTCTCCATTCATTTGTGTACCTGTGAAAGTTGTCTGATTGCGTTTTATTTTTTCTTTTTGGTGGGGGTGGGGGAGTTGTATTCTCTGAATTTTTAGTTGAATCTGGGAATGTTCCGCAGTTTATTTTCTCCATGTTCATAATTGAATTATAATTAGTTATTATTTTTCACACAATTGTTGTAACTTTTAAAATATTACTGGTGAATTACAAGACTAATGGACAAGGATACTTGTGTTTGATAGGAAATTGAAGCAAGCTTTGGGATTACTAATCTTCTTTATACTCCTGATGCAGATTTCTCTTGCTTTGCCGGCCTAGCACTTACTTCTCCGGAAGATTACTACATTGAGGGACAAGGTTCACTCCTCCAGTAAGGAAAACATGTGCATTATTGTTATCACATTTTTCAATCTTTAGGTTTTACAAGTAGAGATTACATATAAAATAACCAGACACCCTCTTTATTTTGAAATTTTCAAACCAAAATTTGTGAGGTTTCTTGAAAGTTCATTTTGCATCTCAGTGTGTGAAAATGTATTATAATGTGAGATTAATGATCCTTTGCCCATTTTTGTGTATCAGAAATATTTGCACTTTTATGATTTTGAACTTCGCGCTGATGCTTCTTCGTCTTGCAGATACATTTTGACACCAGGTGATCCTTACATACCTTTACCAAACGAAGAAGTTATAGCAAGAGTGACGAAACAGGTAACTAGCTTATTAAGTGTGTTTCATACATTAAGCAAGTTCATCTGCAGTTGGTAGAAATCGATAAAACAATCAAATTCTGAACTTTGAAAATTTCAATTCAAGGTTTTGGCTTTATTCCCATCATCCCAAGGTTTAGAAGTCACTTGGTCATCTGTTGCCAAAATTTGGCAATCTCTCTATCGGGAGGCACCTGGAAAAGATCCGTTTAGACCTGATCGGAAGAGACCCGTAAAAAATTTCTTCCTTGCCGGATCGTACACAAAACAAGTAAGTTTATGCAACTGATTTTGCCATAGAAGAAGAATGACGAAAGTAAAGTGTCAAGTGTTGTAAATTCTAAATGGCTGTACCTTTTACATTACTATATAGACAGCATGGAATGATGATCTTCCAACGTTCATGTATGTGTTCCTGAACGTCAAGTTTTCTGTGTTTATGAATGTCTCTTCTGCTACATGAACTAATAAACTTGTGCTTCTTATAAGAACAGATTTTTCGTGGTTGCCATATCGTACGAAGAAACGCCAAAAGAAGCAGAATTATCTTGATCTTCTTCGACACTGTAATACCTAATTAAGATTTTTTTTTTTTTGCAACATCATGCTATCCATTGTGCTTGCTCTTGTCTTATAGAAGTGAATTTATACGGTTGCGTTGTGTGGACAATGCTGGCTCTTCTGACGGCATGGTGCCTCTGTAGCAGCAGCTACTGTATACTTAGCTAGCAAGGGTAATGCGCAAATTGGTTTGCAATCTGCCAACAATTCAACTCCTGCGAGCTCATCTCTGACTCTTTAATTTGATCTTTTATAGGAGTTGTTTTTATACTCCTAATCTTGCTCTCAGCTGCAGCCCTCCCTCGATGTTGAGTGTCAGTCTTATACATTCTCAAGATTTCGACATTGTCCCCAAAGATCTAGCACGACAATAAGTTAATCAGAAAGTCTCATCTTCATAGTAATTGCTTATTTGAGGATCTCTCAATTGAAGCTCTCTATATATACAAACACATAGTTATTAACAAATTGATAAATAAATAAAAAGATTTGCCGCCTTTCCGAGATCCTATTATATCAAATATAATATGGTTACACATCTTACATAATAAAATTAACAATATTTAATTACCTTTGTAGTCACACACAACAGTCACTGGGATATACTTAGAAATATTATCCTTCAAATATGTGTTGTATGTTGATTTGTTCTCATTGACTTCAACAATACTATACGATATAATAAATTAGTATACATGTCATTCTTCTGGGATACTCGGAGATATCACTTTTTTTTTTATACTTAAATTACAAAAATAATTAAACACATTATTAATAAAATCCGAAACAATAATATTATCTGATGATTGTGGTCCTAAACCCTACTTTGTGGCATTCTTTCCAACTATCAAAGATAATTTGAATTAAATGGGACAACTTCATCCCCTTTTTTTATTAAGCAGCTCAAAAGCTTTCTACGTGTGTTTCCCGATTTGTTTGTGAACTGTCTGAATTTGGTCTTACTGATGAGATACTTTGAATCATATTCCCTTAATCTCTAATTAGTCTATAAACGTATATCCCCCAATCGTTTGATTTAGGTGCACTAATTCTATCGTCAAGTCAATTTTAAGCACCACCATAGGCTATAGCCCACACCTAGGTACCTAAGTTGGAGTGCCTTTAATCAATATCAACATCTAATTATATGTGATATTTTCGGTCTAGATGCTATGTCAATTATTCCTTTTGAGAAAGGGAATATAATTAAAAGTAAGTAATTCACGGGTGAGAAGAAATGCAAAATGAGATTTGCTCAAAAGAGAGTCTTTAAAATGACAGTAAGTTCATAGATAACTCTCTTTTGAGCAAGTTTTGTTTTTGTCCCTAGAACTGCTATGGACGAAAAGTTTTTCTTATTACATAGTTGCAAATCTGTTATCGTGTTTTGCCAAAAATACGTTGAATTCAAGTTATTAGACTACCATAGCCATGAATTGGTAAACCACACCTTTCTCAGCTAGATGATGGACCATATAATATAATTGATTTTCAATTGAGGCCATATCAGTCAAACGTAGAAAGTTATATGAATCGTTTTACTAATACTTCATCTTACCCTTTAAGGTGGCTAATCTTTTTGGTTTACTTGTTTTTTTTTTTTTTTTTTGAGATGGGCGATAGCATACTAAACTCACACACACTACACTGATGCTAGGACTCGAACCCAGGACCTTGCCTGAGGGAGTAAATACTCCAAATCACTACACTAGTGGGTCCTTTGTGGTTTACTTGTTTAAGTTTAACTTTATTTTACACTTTTTACTGAAAATCAAAGTCGTTTTAAGGTGATGATTAACAACAAAAGAAGCCCATTTTGAGGTGATGATGATTTGCCTTCTAACAATACCTAATCATTGAAACTCTAAGCCCCTATCCCAAATATTATAAATTAAAAAGAATAAAAAAATAGAATAAACTAAATTTATTTTTTTGGCCAACCTACTCTTCTAAATTCTAATTAATTTAATCAACGTATTCTCACCTTTGTCAACATTTTCTGCGAACCCTGTTTGTCCACGTGTCAATATCAATCGTGGCTTATTGTCGGAACAGAGGAAGCAGGGCCCACAGTGCCAACGCAGCACTTGATCAAACGGTCAACGTAAACTTTAATATAGGTTCGGTGGGAACTTTTCGTCTCAGCCAATCAGAACTCGCCAAGTTGATGAGTTTGGTTGCTTTTCCGTCGGCAGTGGCGGCACAGTCTATTCTTTTTTCTCGGACACGGATGGCAGATATTAAGATTGACTGCACGAAGCAATACGAGCCGTCCGATCAAGGAGGTTGCCGAGACGATTAGAAATACTAAAAATAGAAAAGTCCCTACCCCCACGCTTTCGCCTACATTATTAAAAATGTTTCCTGGAAAGGAGAAAAGGAAAGGGATTAGTTTTGGCATTATCCAGATTAATTAAAGAAGGTAAAAGGTTAAACAGTAGATTAATTCTTCGTCAAGCTAATAATAAAGCCAAATTTTGCTGATTTGTTTGTTGGCCTAGAGAGAAGGTACAGCTCATGTTTTGGCAAAACAAACATGCTTTGATGTGTAAACACATGCATGTTTTGTTTTCTTATGAAATTCATTGATTTTTTATCTGCATTTTCAACCTGACTAAATCAAACACCTCAATATTAAAAGGGGTAATTTGGATTACTAAATAATACAAAATTTGCAGCAAAGTTTGACGAGGAACACACTACAGCTAGTACAAATGCAATATTACGGCTAAACACAAGTTTCTAATATGCCTTTCAGTCAATATGAAGGAAGTGGATTAAGTAATTGCGGTTTTCTATTTGTTTTTGTCACGTTACGGACTTGGGATAAAGTAGAAATCCCAAACTCAATGAGTGATGTCCGGAACGTGACGGTTTCCAACCTAATTAATTGCACGACCTTAGTGTTTGTGCCTTTACCACATAAAAACGATTATATGCCCGCGCCCATCCATGTGCATTAGGTGAGGCCAGTAATAATAATAACTATGAAAAATCATACTTATTGTGAAACAGCTATAGTTGGGACCTAATGCTACAAAAACCTCTCAAGGCAGGGCCAGCTAAGAGGGATCCTCCATTTACTTAATTAAGTGCCCAAGGACAATAAGAATTTGTTTGGGAGTGCTTTTGAAAAGGTCAAAAGTGTTTTTTGACAACTAAAAGCGTTTTTGTTAGAAATGCTTATAATGAGTATCAATGCTTCCTAGAGAAGCAGTCCCAAATCAACCCCAAGTCTTGTTGATATAAGTTAATTCTTGAATGGGTTCTTTTGAGGAAATAGAAAAATTACTAAAAAAGTTCAGTGGAGATTTTGATGCACCACCCAAATTCCTAAAAATGTCTACCCTTTCTTTTCATCAAGTTGAAGTTTAACTTTGGTTGATGGGATTGGACCGTAAATTGGTTATGGAATTGTCGATCATGTGTTTAATTAAAACGATTGATTTGGTGTGAACTCACAAAACTAATTACATTAAATAATCTGTTCTAGTAAAGAAATTCGATCTTGGATGATGCAATGGGACGACTTCACTGCTACAATCAACTGACTTAACCCACATATACGCTTAATCAGTTTTTATTGTCAGAACTTTTAGTTTGGTTGGAACGACAAAGTAATAAAAGGCAAAAGTAGTGAACGCAAAGGCTGAAAATTCAGTCTGTTTGGCTAATTCAAGTTGCAGCAAGTTCATGAATGATGACATGGCTAGTCCATGAGCACCACACAAAAACCCCAAAACGCAATTCCTTGACCTTGATGGGTCATATCATACGAATGTCTATACAACCAGACACATAACCCTAATCATGCATTACCATAAGCAGGAACACTGTTCACACAACACACCTCCCATATATGAAGAAGTCGGAAAGATAATGTCACATGCTCACATGTAGCATGGTCTCTTTTGTCTACTAGTCCAACAAACCAACTCCCTCCCATAATAATTATGATAATTTCCAAATTTTGTTTCTTTGATAAATTAAAAGTTTGTAATAATATAAATGATTTCATTAAATTAATTTCTTTCATTTATTTCTGATTAGCTGCCAATCTGTTGGCTCGACAAAATGTTCCGTATTGAGGGCAATGTGGTCATTTTGACAAGAAATATGCACTATTTTTGCTGATTTTTTAAAATGATTTTCAGTGATGGGTATGTTTGATCTAAGATTTTTGATTTTGCACACAAAAATATCTATCATATGAAAAAAAAAAAGATCTTCTACTAAAAATTAGAGTTTTGATGTTATACTAACTAATCTTCCAACATGCGCTCACGCCTATACCAATAAGCTTTCTATTTGTTTTTATATTTTCTCTTTATCTATAGAACTTTTGTATGATATAGAGAAATGATCATAGTTCTTCGTACATAGTCAAAAACGTATTATGGGTATCATAATAGATCCAGCCAATCACTCAACCGCAAAATTATTGTGCCCTTTAAATGCCAAAGAAAAATAAAATTAGAACTTTTGTATGATATAGAGAAATGATCATAGTTCTTCGTACATAGTCAAAAACGTATTATGGGTATCATAATAGATCCGGCCAATCACCCAACCGCAAAATTATTGTGCCCTTTAAATGCCAAAGAAAAATAAAAAAAATTAGGTATTAAGAAAATAAAACTATTGCACGCATTAGACGACTTTTGTAAAACTAGGTAGTTTCAAAATAACTAACAACGTGACTTTGGTCCCTAAATCTCTCTTTACCTAAAGTCAATAATTACAGATAGAGAGTTTAAATTTGGAAAGAAGAGAACTGTTCTTAGCTATCTCATTTACATGCAGGTGACAGAGGTCAGTCGCTAGCTCCAAAGTCAAGAAGAAGGGAATTATTACAGAAAAGTTAAAAGGGAGAGCCTGAAATTTTGAAACTATCCACCAAGCTGCCTTACAACCCACGTTTCTTTCTCCCCCAAAACCTGTATTTAACGGGGTTCTGTACCTCTCGACACAATTTTTTTTCCTGGAGAAAACATCTTGGAACATCTCTCAGTTAATTAGAAGCTTTTCAGTTTCATAGCTTTTTTTTTTCCTTATCTCACAACATCTTAGCTCTGTTTTCCTTGTGTGTACAAGTTTTTGGTAGAAACCAGTTCGCAATTTATAGTTCTTTGGGATTTTTCTGTGTAGATTTCGGGAATTTAGGGCTTGTTGGTGGTGAAACCCATTTGAGATACAGAGAGGATTTAGTGGGAAATTGAAGGAATGGAAAATGCTTCTGGGTTTAGTAAGGAAGATGAACAGATGGAATTGCCTCCGGGGTTCCGATT